TAAGATGGAGCAGCGGAGTCCGGCGGGCTTGTTGGAGCCATTACCCACTCCACAACGGCCTTGGGAAAGCGTGAGTATGGATTTCATCATCGGCCTTCCCAAAGTCGAAGGGTGTGGTTCCATCATGGTCGTCGTCGACAGATTTTCGAAGTATGGCGTCTTCATCGCGGGGCCCAAAGACATGACGGCCGAGGATGCAGCCCACTTGTTTTTCAAGCATGTTGTGAAGTATTGGGGCATCCCGGTTAGCATCGTCAGCGATAGAGATGGCCGCTTCACCGGCAAGTTTTGGAGGGAGTTGTTCAAGATGATGGGCTCCAATCTGAACTTCTCCACGAGCTTTCATCCTCAAACGGATGGGCAAACCGAGCGGGTCAATGCTTTGGTGGAGGTCTACTTGCGGCATTATGTGAGTGCCAACCAGAAGGATTGGGTGAAGTTCTTGGATGTAGCCCAATTCTCCTACAACTTGCATCGAAGTGAAGCCACGAGCATGAGCCCGTTCGAGTTGGCGACTGGCTAGCAGCCGTTGACACCTAATATGGTGACGACGGGGTACAAAGGCAATAGCCCATCTGCCTACAAGTTTGCACGAGGGTGGCACGAGAAGATGGAGTTGGCGAAGTCTTATCTCGCTCGAGCAACGAAGAAGATGAAGAAGTGGGCGGATAAGAAGCGGCGTCACTTGGAATTCGAGGAGGGAGACTTAGTGATGGTGAAGTTCTTCCCTCATCGATTCAAGCACCTTAAAAATGTGCACAAGGGGCTGCTGCGACGATATGAAGGGCCATTTCCGATTTTGAAGCGGATTGGCACGGTGGCGTACAAAGTTGAGTTGCCATCGCACTTGGAGATTCACCCCGTCTTCCATGTGAGTCAATTGAAGGCATATCATGAAGACAAGGAGGACGGAGCGCGGAAGGAGTCAGCGAGAGCACCAACACTCGTCACTACAACACATGAGCATGAAGTGGAGGAGATCTTGGCTCATCGTGTTGTGCCTAGGCGTGGTGTTCATCCAAGCTACGCGGAGTATCTTGTCAAGTGGAAGGGGCGGCCAGAAAGCGACATCACATGGGAGAAGGAGCTTTCGCTATGGCGTCACAAAGACTTGATCGAGGCATTTCATGCGGAGTCCGCGACGAGGGCGTCGCGAGATTGAGTGGGGGAGAATGTTACGCGGAAGATTCTAGAGCATCCTAGAACGATGCAAGTACGTGCATGCATCTTCCGATTCATGCACCAATGTACATGCATCCCCCTTTTTCTATCTTTATTCATGTATCTCATTAATTACATTCATGTATGGGGCTGGTTCATGTATGGGGGGACTATCTAGGTTCGTTCATTTATGACGGCCATATACATTGTACTTAGTGGAGAGGATGACTATATAAGCAGCCCTCTCCACCACTTTTCATTCATCCAGAAATTGAAAGATTTCCATCTATAGAGTTTTCTCCAACACTTGTGAGTTTGAGTGAATACGAGCAAGGCTGACTTAGCGCTCTAACGAGACTTGAGTGCTAAGTGCCGCACGGCTAAGAGTTGGTCCGTGACATAGGCTGCTTGCAACAAAACGTCGCCGACTAGTTGGCCCTTGTCACCGCCTCCGCACCACGGCCACTGCTCTATCTCAACCGCCGACCTGTGTCACTGGCCACATCTGTCGCGCCTCGCCTTCGCGTTTCCCAGACCATCCCGTCGTCCCTCTTCATCGTCATCTGGCTGACTGCTCGAGTGCGGAAGAAGAATGAAGAGGAAGGAAACCGTTGTTTGAAAGAAGAAAGAGATGAAAGAAGGCTGCATATTATCTTGGTTCAATTTTTTTTTTTCCAGAATGAGAGAGATGAGAGACGATACGCAGACGGCCAAGTGAAATGGAGGGGCGCCTAGGGTTTCTCTTCCTGTCTATGGGCTTTTTTTTTATGAAGTCCATGTGCCTTACTAATAATACACGCTGTGAAGGAGAAGGAAGGAGGAAGGACCTTTGGTTATGGGATTTTAATGGCCTTATTATTAACTAGTTTACTTGTTATTATGTGATTATTTATATTTATTTTTTGGTATTTCCGGTAAAGTCCGGTATTATTCTGAAACGGTACCCTGATTTTGCCAGCACGATATTTTGAGAAAAAAATTATTTTATTATTACAAAAACGGTATTTACCGGTATGAAACGATTGAACCACGGTCGTACCACAAAATACCCTACCAAAAAGAAATCCGATATGATGTCCGGTACGGTTTCTTGAACCATGCTCGAAATGAATGTTGTATTAATTGTTAAACAAAATGAGAGGAACTTGATGACAACGCTCATCAGTTAAGTGGTACTACACTACTACTAACATATTCATGGACAAGAAACAATATAAATTAACCTTCTACTTCTGATGACATACTTATTTTTCTATTTACACGGTATATTTATAAGTATGATGGTGACTACTCATCGTGAAGCGCATCGAGAAAGTCTTTGCTAGTAATCTTAAAGATATGGTTCTGGTTAGCATATGACATTACGTGTAGCTAATGGGAGTCCATTATAAGTTATTGGCATTAGTACAGTAGACAAATCAATGTTAGCTTTGCATCATACTCTTCGTGTACCCTTAGTTTTAGTTGGCAACTCACCGAATAAGGTTATTCCTGTTCACACCATCAAGGTCTTCCATACAGGATTCGTAGACAAGGAGGCAGATCGGAAAGGGGAATAAGCGGGGGGAGATTTTCATTTAGAGGAACTTCATCAATCTCCAACATCGTTAGTCGTCACTAGTCATTCTAATAGGTCTGTCAGCAACCATTTTGTATATTCTATTCTTCATAATAGGTACTAGTAGTGGGCCCGACCCGTTGGCCGATGCAGTTAGCAAATGCAATCATACTCATATTGGTCTATATGACGATAAACATGAAAAAAACCTAAGTTAACGATGCTTATAATTTTTGTTGTTATCATACTAAGTTGGCACAGTATGGAAGTAAACTAAACTACTATTATAAACTCACACATTTACAAAGTTGCTATCATATACCCACACAAATGTAACGTTGCGGCCATATACTCACACAGATCCATGTCGTTGCCACACAATTGCATGCAGATGTTCTGATAAACACATTAAAATAAGTTGTGCCTGCAATAGATACATAAAATGCATCTGATTTCAACCTGAATGTCCAAATTTCGTTGGACAACAATAACCAAAAAATATTAGTGAAACTATTTACAATTTCAAAGTCTGAACTTCCAAAAATCAAATCACTCACTAACGTACTATAAATGAAAAGTACACTACTAAACATAATAGTCATAAAGCCAACCTTAGCTACACAATGATTCTAACAATTATACTCCTCTTCCTCAGTGTCCATCAACCACAATTCCTTTTCTGCCTTTTTAAGGTACTCTCTTCAAGACCTTTAGTCTCAGATTAGTATTGCAAGTTTCGTCCAAGTTTAGAACAAACTTTGTTTCATCTTGTGGGTTGTTCTCGTTTTTGCAAAGTTAAAGATGTAACCAAATGGATATGTATTTCCTTGTTAACTATATTGAAAGCCAATCTTGAAATTCAATAAAGAAATTGAAATGAAACTTCTATCTCACTTGATTGATGGTATAATTTAATGATGGTTTTTTCTTTTCTTCCAAACCAACCAAAACCATGAAAGCCAAAAGAGCAAAGAAAAACAAAACTAAAAGGACCAAAAGACCTATATGCGCAAATAAAAGAGGTCAATCCTATAAACAAAAAAGGGTAAACAGAATGAAAAAACAGTAAACCAACATAGAGAATCAATAAAGATCCTAGTGAAGCTTCTAGATCGTAAAATAGAGGATGGTTGAATCGGAAGCATGCCTGAAGTCGCTGATTTCCCCAATATCGGGAGGCTGAAGCATTTGGAGGAAGATTGATGAATTGGCGATGCCATGAGAATTGAGATGTACGGACTTAATCAACAATTCAATCCCGAAGAAGTTTCATTCTGCAAAACCCATGGAGAGCATAACCGCCTATGAGAATTTGTAATATTGAGGATATAGACGACACGATTGAATAAACACCCGTACTCCATACGCAGTGGCGGACCAAGAAATTTTGTCAAGGGTATTCACAAAAAAAAATTCAAAAATTAAAAAGTTTAATTCATAAAGTACATCGATTCATCGTATCTCATAGCGAACCACGACGTGTTTCCATATTCTTAAAAGTTTATATAATACATTCATCACTTATGTTGCGACTCATGCCTTTTTCAATGAATGTGGCCAAACAATCATTCATAATTTGGTCCCCCATACGATTTCGAAGATCGTTCTTGACGAATTTCATTGCTGAAAAGGCTCTCTCCACGCTTGCAGTTGAACTGGTAAAGTCAACACTAACTTCAAAAGCAGATATACCAAAGGATATAAATGATCCTTTCCTCTCTCCACGATTAGCCTAGCCAGCTCATCGATTCTTCGAAAATCTTTGAATGCCTCATCACACTTGACATGAGAAATATACCCCATCAATTGTCGATCAAGTCATGTAAGCACATAGGAAGGAAACTCAATGGGGTAGAACTTGGTAAGACTCATCAACTTTTCTTTATCAAAAGCAGCAAATGAGTTAGCTGGACTAAAACAACCAATACAAGCCAGCAATTGAGTATTCACCTCACTAAATCGGTTGTTCAACTCTTGCAACTGCATATCCACAACCGCATAAAACACTTCAACTTGAAAGTGATGAAAGTTTGTGGGTTGATGAGGGTTATGCCTTGTTCTTCCAGGAAGAGCGAACAATGAATATAATGAGCAGATGGATTCTCTTCCAGAATTAAAGATTTCAACCCGTTGATTTCTCCTCTCATATTGCTAGCTCCATCATATCCCTGCCCCCTTATCCTTGACAAACTCAATCCATGTAACCCAAGCATTGACTCAATCTACTTCTTAAGTGTAGCGGATTTGGTATCAGTGACATGAGAAATACCGAGAAATCTCTCTATAATACAACCTTTTTTATCCACATAACGTATAGCAACAGCCATCTGCTCTTTGGTTGATACATCATGAGATTCATCCACCAATATGCAAAAAAAAATGCATCTCCAAAATCTTTGATAATCTCCTTTGTTGTTAGAGATGCTATTGCACGAACAATATCTTTTTGAATCTTTAGAGATGTCAATTGATGATTTTTTGGAGCATTTTCCAACACAACACTGCGCACATCCGGATTCTCATTAGCAATAACTTCCAAAAATTCAAGAAAGTTTCCTCTGTTTTCCGAGAATTCACTTTCATCATGCCCACGAAATGACACTCCTTGTCGTAGAAGAACCTTATTTGTAGTAATCGAGGCTTGCAAACGTGTTTGATACTCACTTTTGGCTTTATCTGATTGCCTTATTAAGACACTCAAAATGCTCTGTGATTGTTTCAACAAATCTTCACCTGTCCTGGCAGCCACATTGTGAGAACTATTTGGTCCACCATCATCCAAAGCCTTTTGTCCTATTCCAACATTTAACACCTTGACTAATGAAAGCTTCTCCTCTACCTTTTTTACCAACACTTGATCTAAATAAATAGCAAGGTAGGCAATATAGAGCATCTTTCGCAACACTGTATTCTAGCCATGTTTTATAATCAACATACCAAGCTGGATTGAATTTGCGATTACATCCGTTCTATGTAATGGGGAAAGTAGGACCTGTTGGTTGGCAGGGGGCCCTTTTGAAGATACGCTCTTCTGATTTCATCTTGCTTGTTATCAGGAAAAGTTGAAAACTTTCTCCTTAACCCCGGATCAGCTTCCAAATTATCCACATCATCTATCTCATATTCCGTAGGTTTAGAAGGAGACTTACTTGGAGGGGTAGCAGTTTGATTCAAGGCAGGTGAAGAAGATTGAGCTTCAACATGTTGGTTTTTGCTCAATGCTCCACTATTATTATTCGGATATGGCTCAATCCTCGGTCTTTTTATCACATACTTGTCCATATCTGATTTCAAAAGATAAATAACTACGTAAGCTAATTGATTAACAAAGAAAATCATAATTATTATAAAGGAAAAAGTAAAAAACTAAAACTAAAAAAAGGAAGAACTCCATGGACTATACTGCGTGCGTCCATGTCCATTCTTTCTACTTCAACTTAATAAAAAATTAAAGAAAGTACAATATGTCCAAGGGGAATTGGGTATGCAATTTGGACTTGGCGGATGAGGGATTGCTGGATGGATGGTACAATAATAATAAACTTGAAAGCAATACTTACAGGCGGTGTGATATGCGCTGGGGGGTTTAGAAGCTGCCGCCTGGTGATGGCCGATGAGTTGTGAAAGATAGAAGAAGGAAAGCAAGTGTTCTGTGAAAAAGTTGGGATTTGTAATTGGGAATATTGAGACTCAGAGGGTTGAGAGTTGTCTTTTATTGGGGTAGGGTTTTCATCCCCAGAAAAGAGAGGGAGATTTAATCAAAATCTTAACGGGACTTGGATTCAGCATATTAGACAGGAATTAATTTGGGTTATATATTTGCTTTGGAAAGTTTATAACAACAATTGGATAGTGGTTCAACGGAAGTTCTGTTAATTGTAAGGGTTGTCAAATTGTCCAGGGTTCAAATCCTACTAACAACAATATAAATTTTAATGTGCTAATTTGTTCCAGTTTTTTAGCAAAGGTTTGTCAGCTGAATACCCTTGGCACTGAACAGGTGACACGCTAAAACACAACACCAAACTGCGACCAAGTGTAATTGCACTCTGGAAATGAAGTAATAGGCAAGCTCTAATTGTCAACCCGGCGTCTAGATCTACTGCCTACTCCGTGTATATTTGTTATCTAGCAAACTAAGTTGAGTGATTGTGATTTTAACTAAAAGCAGGAAATGGTTCGGTTTTCTAAAGCAAAGGAAGAGTCACTCGGGAATGAGTCCCCTTAGTTCCTTAGTTAGGTCTCAATTGTAATTATCTTGAGTTGATTTACTGTTGATTAAACTGCGGAAGATCCGACAGTAGCTTGGAATCTCTTAATCTGACCAAGCCCTCTCAGGCAGGCTAACCGGCAGGCGACTAACCTTCACCAGAATAGACTGTTGAGGCAATAACCACATAACTCCACTACTGGAATTGGGTTCCAGTACAAAGCAGTAGATTGATTAACTCTCGTATAACCAATCTACCACTACTGAATGATGAAGCTCTAACAACCTAATCAGATTGTATTTATCTCAGGTTGCAGCAGAAATCAAGAAAAGATAATCAGACTTCAATTGATTCAACAAATCATGCATCATTCGATTAAAATCAAACAGTATAACAATCCCAAGTCATTACAATCAAGATCCCTAACACCTGGAACTAGGGTTCTTCATACCCAAATGAGAGAAAGTTCTACTCCATAGAGAGAGAGAGAGAGAGAGGGAAACAGAATACAAAGCAGTCATACTCATAACAATGGGAAGAATCTGCTCTGGGATGATGATCTTCACTCCAAGGGTGATTTCCAAGTTTGATTGATGAAACCCAGCTCCAAAACCACTCTTAGGGGGTGTTCTTCGCACTTTCTCTCTCTAGGGCTATGTTTTTTCTCCAAAAAGTCGATTCCCTCTCCTTTGGCTCGAAATGGGTTAAAACCCAGAAATTCCCGACCACACGGCCGTGTGACTTCCCCAACTGCCCGTGTGAGTGTGCAAAACGCCGCGTTTCACTTAAGTGGCTTCGGGTACGCTACACGGCCAAAACCACACGGCCGTGTGGATTTCCAGGCTGCCCGTGTGAGCTCCCTGGACTTTCCACACGGCCACAAGGGGTCCCTTACACGGTCAGTGTGGCTTGCCCGTGCAATTTGGTGCCACACGGCCTGGTCACACGGCCGTGTGGGTTTTTAGGCGTGCCCGTGTGGCTTGCTCAACCTCTCGCCAAACGTCCAATCTTCGTCCAATCGACCCCGAACTCGTTCCCAAACCTTCATTCACGTACTAGGACCTGAAATATCACAAACAAGAACAACCTAGCGTGAAATCGGCCTAAAACACGAGAAATAAGACTCAAACGGTGTAAGAATGGTGGACAAAAACATGTGTATGTATCAAGTCATAAACAGGTCCGCCCCTGATTATCTTATAGTGTTTTGTAGATGAATAGAGTACACGCTTTCATAAAATGAGTAATATTTGCATGATCGAAAGCATACAATTCACAATGCATATTCTCAAATGAATGATGATTCTCTATAAATGCATATCACTAAAAATACATTTAGATAACTCAATGAGATATTGGAGAGAACTAAATAAGATCATTAATTGGTTTTTGGGTTCTCGATGGATTTTATCTTCTTGTCCATATGAATTGTAACTTGATTATTTCTGACTATCTTTTACCTTCCTTTGGCAGAATTTTCGGGAGGAAAGACTTGCCTGACACGACCCGATCCGTTTTGAAAACCAAACCACAACTCAAACCACAAACCAGTTACTCCGGAGCAACCCAAACCACTTTTAAAATAACAAACTGACTTTATTTAATAATTTTAAAAAAAAGCCCCAACACTTGGGCAAAATCTCAATCTCAAACACTTAACACAAAATCTTGAACCTTGAATCTCCAGTACATATACTCATAACCATGAACAAAAAAGATACTTAACCTAACTCTAGTTCTAACTCCTTGCTGATTCCTTGAGGTATCGTCCATACTGGGGTGACAGCGTTCCTCGTCTTACTTCTTCTCGGAATCCACCTCTGCTAACCCTTCCTCGTCCATACTTTGGGGGTTTGTAGATGGATTTGGGTTAGGTATGGATATTGCTTTCATAATGTAAATGTGTATGGGTTGAATATAGATATCCATTTACTTGAGGGTGTTTTAACTACACACACAAAAATTGGACCTATTTGTAAAACTTGAAAAGTTTAGGTACCAAAATGTAAGACCAAAAAAATTTAGGTACCAAAACGTAATTTTCCATCGATATTTTGAGGACTTATATGCAAAAAAATTAAATTTAGGTACTAAATCTGCATATCTATTAAATTTAGGTACCAAACTGTAATTTGCCTTTGGGCATGGGTACATACCCAAATCCATGTGTTAAAAACCCAACCCAACCCAAGTAAATGGGTATGGGTACAAATCCATCAAACTCTACCCATCTACCATTTATTTGGAATCCATACCCAACCCAATTGGGTTGGATAGTAAAATACCCATGGTATGGGCAAAATTGCCATCCCTAACCATACAACATCACATACGTTCATACATAGCACAACGCGTGCCTCCACCCTTACAGGCGGTGAGATGCCTCACACACATATCGCGCATACTAGAAAAATTAACTAACTAATAACTTGAATGAAAAGCATAAATTAAAAGACATACGACAGAGATTTTACCCCCTTTACACTCACCTCGAAAAGATGGCTCCTCAATTCCTTCCTCGAAGAAACCCTCCTTAACCGGATTATCTTGGGGAAACCTATTAATAAGAATCCATTTTCTTAGACGACCTTTCTTGATTTAAAACCCCTTTGAATCACTAGAACATCTTCTCCTCAAAATCCAGTCCTTGAACCTCATTCCAAGGTCCTTTAACCCCGTTAAAATTTTATAGAATTAATCCCTTCAAAAACGACCATTTTCTTAATTATTTTAGTCTTGGACGAATTTTCCACCTAACTAGAACCTTTTTACAAATTCTGATAATAATTTTCCCATGTCAATCATGAGCCCCTATACCCTGGAAAATTATCAAACCCTTAAAAACCCTCGGAAAGATTTTTATTTAATTAAAAAAATATTCGAACAATTTCTAAAAATAGAAATACATCTTCAAAAATTCCCAAATTAAATTACAATCATCTCCTAGACGTCTCTCAATTTATAAAGTTGTTAGATCCAGAAAAAAACCTTCAGAGAGGCTCGAAACAATTTAAAACATCTAACAACACGTTTCTGGAAATTCCCAGCAGCTTTAGTGACCAATCAAAATTTGTCGCTAAAAGCCTGTAAAGCCTGTTGCTAAAACCCCAGAATTCTACCCTCACGAAAAAGCACCAAATCAATCGATCTAACTCAAAGGGATCGAGTTCCCTTACCTCTAGAACGTGCCTAGCCCTAGGTTGGATGACCCGGGACGTTGATCTCCTTGTTGATCGAACCCTCAACGTCACCACTAATAAAAATATGAGCTTCGGATTAGTCTACCGATAAAACGAGTTTAGAAATCGCGAAGGGGGTTCGTGATCCTTACCTAGAAACACGAAAGGGATGGGATCGGAATTGGAATCGGGGTCGGGATGGAGAGTCGGCGCTTCCCTTCTTTTCTTCTTTTCCTCGCAGCGGCGGCTGCTTGCAGAATTACCCGAGGAGGGTTTTTTTTCTTATTTGGCCTCCTGGGTTTTTGCGGCTCGGGCCATTATTAGGGGGGGAGATTTATTGTTTGGGGGTGGAGGCGCCGACCTCCTTGGGCCGCCCCATTTTCCTTCTTTTTTTTTACATAATGTAATAATAATAATATTATTATATTATTATTATTATAATAATGTTATAATATTATTATTCTTAATCCGCGGTTGTAACTCTTAGTACGTAACCGTCAATC